CCCTTCCTCGACTGCCGCCGCTGCCTGAGTGCCCTCGACCGCCGCTGCTGCTGCTGAAGGAACCACGACCCCCACCCGCGGGGCTGTGTGGGTGAGCGCCGGTGTGACCAGCCGAGAAGAGGGCCGTGCCAGGTGATGGATCGGCGCTGTCCAAGTCTGATTGCTGACGCTCCAGGAGAAGAAGTGCTGAGCGGGTTTGAAGAAACGTTGGCGGAGGAGTTTGGAACTGGAGGAAGGAGGTTTGACCCCGCATGTCGTCGGGCAGCCCCCGGAGAACCTGCAACACCAACTATTGTTCCGAGACAGGGGCATCTACGTCGTCCAACCAATCGGCTAAATTCTTGAGAGTTTGACAATAAGCCGATATGGAGAGCGAGCATTTCTTTGTTGTCCGGAATTGGTGCTCCAATTGCATTGCCCGGGCCGGTTTATTGTCATGAAAAAGAGAGTGAATGGATCGCCAAAGTTCGGACGCCGAGTCGGTAGAGGAGAGGACTAAGTCGAATACCTCGTCGTTGATCGTTGAGAGGATCCAACCCTGGATAAGAGCCTCGAGTTGGTACCAATCGGTGTCGTTGTTGTTGGAGGGGACCAATTTTCTGGTGAGAAAGTCACCGAGGGAGAAGCGCCGAACCAATAGGAGAAAGAGGCGGCTCCATTTTTTGTAGTTCGGCTCCGTAAAGCTTAAGAGGATCGGAACGTGAAGTTTCACGTTCGAGATGGTCGTGAAAGCCAGGTGAGGAGTTGAGACCGGGGAAGGAGACTTGTCGGAGGAGGGTTTCTCAGCCATGGAGAGGGGCTGCTGCACTGGTGCGTCGCTGGAGAGACTGCTGGTGCAACGCTGGGGAGGTTGCTGTCCGTGGGTGGCGCTGCTGGGGAACGGCAGTCGCCGGTGAGATAGAGGGGGGGAACGCCGAGCAGTGGGCTGCGGCGTTAGGGTTTGGGGAGTGCGGCTGCGAGACGCGCACGAGAGAGAGAGGGAGTTTCTAGGTTTTAGGCCACGGAAAGAGGCTCTGATACCATGAAGAAAGATTAATTTCGATACAAGAGACAAGTCTCCTAATTATGGTAGGATATAAATGCAATCCTTCTATACAAGGGAAACTACCAAATATATAAAATATATTAAATATACAACATATATTTAACAGTTCGTTTATGAGATGCTAGAGGCTGCTGCGCATGAACTAGGTTTCACAGTTCGCCACTGTGTGTGTGTTTTTTCTATTGTTATAATGGAATATTTCGTGCTTTTGGTTGATGAACACAAGCTTATCATGATTCTGCATGAGAACATACAGGTGGATGTCACAGTGGTGGATGTCTCTACTGGCAGCCAGGAAATTAGTGGGTGTGGGGATTTCGAGTTTGTTTCAAGAAAACATGTTCTTTCATTCTATTCTGGAACGGAGCAATCTGCAGAGCTTCCGGAGGACAGAGGCAAAGCTATTGCAATCATGACTAAAGGGCTTGAGAATTTCCTCATTGGAGCTCAGAATGACAAAGTTGTTGCTGGAGTCGTCGGTCTAGGGGGCAGTGGAGGGACGTCTATGTTGTCTTCTGCCTTCCGCTCTCTTCCAATTGGGATCCCTAAAGTGATTGTGTCAACCGTGGCCAGCGGTCAAACTGAACACTATATTGGAACATCCGACTTGGTATTATTTCCGTCGGTAGTGGATATTTGTGGGATCAACAGTGTTAGTAGGGTTGTTCTATCCAATGCTGGTGCCGCATTTGCTGGTATGGTGGTTGCAAGAATTCACAGCCTTAAAGAATCCCGCGCTGTTGATGAGAAGTTTACTGTTGGAATTACAATGTTTGGCGTTACTACTCCGTGTGCTAATGCCGTTAAAGAAAGGTTGACTAAAGAAGGATATGATACCTTGGTTTTTCATGCCACTGGGGTCGGGGGAAGGGCCATGGAGGATCTGGTCAAAGGAGGATTCATACAAGTAATTCTCACCCTACTGTCCCACGTTGCAAATCTCTCTTGTACCCTATCTGTCTCTATTATTTTCGTTTCTTCAATCTTAAACTCCTATTTGACTTGATTATTGTGAAACTGAGATTTTATTTATGTATCCTTTTGGTTGTAGAATTGAAAATTTAATAGGCTATTTTATTTACACAACAACAAACCTAGGCTTTTTGCATGGACTTAGTGTTAGTTTAATTATTGAGCACACGGATGGTCCATCCATGAGCCTGTATCATAGGAAGGGCATCCAATGCAAAACATTCCCACTCGGCTATTTGAATGAGTTAAGTGTTGATTAATTATATACAATTGACATCTGCCAATAATAAAAAACTTATCTCCGATCCCAACTTGTTTGGGTTAAGGTGACGGTGATGATGATGTCACAAACTTATTTGACATCTGCCAATAATAAAAAACGTAGCTCACATGTTACTTTTTTTTTTGTCTGAGATGAAAAGAAATGCCATTTTTACAATCATCATTTCAGATATTAATTCCTTTAATTTTTAAAAAAAGAATATGCTTATAAACAAAAACAAGTATTTAAACGAATCAACACATCCAACCATTTCAGTCCAATTCTCATCAAATGTAGATTATTCATCCATTTCTGGCAAAATTTACCATGACCTGATGGGCTCGTACCCTTTATTACTAGAATTTGAGACATCCTTTTTGCAATAATATTAACAGCATGTTTTTGTGTTTGCATTTACTTCCTCTTTAATCTCCATCATAGGGTGTATTAGACATCACTACAACTGAGGTTGCAGATTACATTGTTGGAGGTGTTATGGCATGTGATGGTTCTCGCTTTGATGCAATATTAGAGAAGAAGATTCCTTTAGTTCTAAGTGTGGGAGCCTTGGATATGGTAAATTTTGGTCCAAAAAGTTCCATACCTTCTGATTTTCAGCAGAGGAAGATTCACGAGCACACTGAACAGGTAATCTGGCTAAACGATTCAACACTTTCCCTTCTTTTTTCTTTATAAATTTCTGATCAATTCATTTTGCATTTTTTTTGGAGCTTGGCATAGTCTGAGATGGATAGGATGTGTGTAGTAGGTGGCCTTAGTGATTAAGATAGCCTTTAATCCAAACCAGAAGTAATTGCATAGTCTGAATGGACATTTCATATCAATTTGAGTATTTGACTACCTAGTTTGAAACTATGGTATATGACAACATAGTTAAATTATTAATTATGTATGATGTTTCTAATGAACTAATGAGTAATGAATTTAATAAAAGAGAGGATCTATATAGTTTCATAATTGTTCCTCTCGAGGTCACTTAATGCTTTATTTTTCCCAGGTTTCTCTTATGCGTACTACTATGGATGAAAATAAGAAAGTTGCCGCCTTTATAGCAGACAAATTGAATAAATCCTCATCAAAGGTGTGTGTTTGCTTGCCAGAGAAAGGTATTTCTGCATTGGATGCCCCAGGGAAACCGTTTTATGATCCTCAAGCAACTGGATGCCTTTTTAATGAGCTACAAAGACTTGTTCAGATAAATGAAGATCATCAGGTATCCATTCAACTTTCAACCGAGTCATTTATAAAAATATTGGCTGTTTCCAAAATTTTATTTTTTCTTAGTAACTTATTTCAAGGACTATGCCTGTACAGTCTCTTAACATCGCAATTAAATATTCTTGTATTGGTAGGTTAAAACGTTTCCTTATCATATTAATGACTTGGAGTTTGCAAATGCATTGGTCGATTCATTCTTAGACATCTCTGTGAAACCAAAAGTTGTAGATACTTCCCAAGCAAGCTTTGAGTCCAGCAAAGAAGCTAATCTTGTTGGTCATACAAAGTTCTCAAGCAAAGAAAGTCTTTACTCATGTCCAAGTGACTTCCCCAATGCAAAACAAGGTGAATTGATTCTTCTTCTTCTTCTTTTGCACTTATACACATTCTTTGTTTGAAAATCAAGGCACCTTTATAAGTTTAGGATTTAGGGAAGGAAGAAAGGGCATAACTTGGGCCATGTGCCTTTGTATGCTTCAGTTTCTCTCTGGTTATTTAGGATATTCTGTTGGCATGTTGCTCTTTTATAGTTCTCAATTGTCCGTTTTTTAATTCGCCTTGGTTCTAAACAGTTAGGCTGGTCAGATTACGGTCGAGTAAGATGACTGAGGTAGAGGGAAGAGGATTGTAGTTTACATTAGATGTGAACGATGCGCGTGGTTGGAATGGCACGCACACACTCGTATGTCTTAGCGATGCTGGAGCTACACGAGTTCAAAATTTAAATGTAAGAGTACAAGTGAGTAATGAGTCTACTGGTCATAGGGGTACCGTAAGGCAAGCCGAGTGCTAGCCAACTGTTTCAAGAAATGCCCAAACGAATAATTGGAACCTTTTGATTATCAATACTTCATCTCTCGGGACGACGGGACGTACAATCCAGACACTTTCAATGCTATTGATACTTTTCCTCTAGAATTTCAGAAGTTCAGGCTATATCCTGCCTTTGGTTGCATGAGGTAGCATTTATAGGCACCAGGTGGCCATCAAGGTCATATGGTGTTAGTTGGAAGGCACATGACACACTATGAATGGTCAGATTGGTGCTCTCTTCTCTGCAAGCTGCATGCCTTCAACATCTAGCTCTAATAGATTGATGGTTCCTGCCATTCATTACCTGACTTGCTACTCTTGATGAGTGCTGTGTCAATGTGTCATCATTAGGGTGGCAATCTTAAGTCTGCATCTTTACACCATTGAATGATCTGGGAGTCTGATTTTTGTGGCACAAAATCGAGCAGGAAATTTTAATTTCGAACCTTGAAACCTCTTGAGTAAAAGAGGTGTGATGGCCGCACAACTGATGTAGTCAAACCTCCTTGTGAATTTCTAACCCCCTAATATCTCCTTCCCAAATAAATAGGAGCCCATGTGAATTCATTTTCTACTTTTACGATGAGTTGATAGTGCTCAGTTTAATCTTTAAGGATTCCAGATCCAACGGACCATCACTATAAATTTTAGGTTAATGTCCAAATGTTTGTTAGAATAGATAATATTCTAAAAGTGCTAGGTGAACAACAAACTGGGGCCTAGCCATCTAGTGCGTAGGTGGAGTCTGAGCGGGTCGGGGGGGGGTACAACAGCTATATGTGCTTGGGCAAGGGATGTGTGATTCACGGTCGCATCTGATATCAAAGATCCGTCACCGTGGTGCTGCTGATTAACCAAGTGCCATGACTCCCCATGAGCAATGACTGAAGGTCAACTAATTTTAACTCTTTCCTTATTTGCGATTGACCAACTTTTTCTTTCCATTAACCATTTTCCCTGTCTGGGTAGTGGATCCAATGCTAGAGGAGTTTGGGAGAAGTATCAATGGGACACTACAGGTTCCCATTTGGCCAGCCCGTGGAAAAAATATCCCCTTCAAGAAACAGAAATTATCTGCAAGGACCGGTCACAAGCACGCAGCTCGCTCAAAATCTACAGCCAAGAGACTGGCCAGTGAGATGATCATCGGGTCCGAGCCAAATAAAAAGCTATGCAGGGAAGAGACTTCTGTTGTTGCTTCCCCAACCGGTGAAATGGCTGCTTTTTCTACTGACCAAGTGGCGGAGGCACTCCAGATTCATCTCTGCAAGGTAAGATATCCAAAATTGCCCTTCCCGTCCACTTTAACCCTTTGAATTAATACGAATAAAATATTCCACTTTTGTTTGCACAACTATTAGGCCAATTTCATTGGTTAGTGTCCGAGATCCATTTTTCCGCTTCTGCTGCACCATGAATTTTTGTCCACTTTTGGCCATTTCGGTTACTTATCCTACCAACTTCTGATTGTTTTTTCACAAGTGACTAGAAAGACCGAAAGTGGCAAAAATCTATAGTCGTGCACCATAATTAGGAAAATGGAAGTCAAAGACCAAAACAATTACCTAATAGTTGCGGGGCCAAAGTTTGAATACGTTTGAGTCCTAAATTCATTTTTCTGCAGGCTTCCAGTTTTGGGGCTGAGCTCCACATCCGGTCCACCATGATTCCCCATGAGAAAAAGGCCGCTCTAGACATTGGGAAGACATCTACTCAGCTTGCTGAGGAGGCTGAACAGAAACTCAAAGCCGAGCAGTCAGCACGGTTGGCTGCCGAAGAGCAACTAAAAGCCGAAAGGGAGGCTCGGCTTGCAATTGAGGCCAGACTGGCAACCGAACGGGAAACTGCCGTTGCAGAGTACAAGGCTGGGGGTTTCCAAGATGACGCACTGGAGTTCGCTCGGACCAACCATGATCAGGTGATTAAAGCTGTGCTAACGAGTCCAAAAGAAGCGATCCACTTCTTCAATAGGCTTCAAGAGAATGAGATTGGACGGTTGATGTTATTGAAGATGGGGGCTTATGGGTTCTTGAAGGGACGGAAATCAGAGAGGTCTGAGCTATATGAAGTTCTGAAAGAATCTGTCAAAAATTTCAACCCGACTAAGTACGACCTGCCCGAGGCCTTCACAGTTGAGCCAGTCTATCCATTCCTCAACCTGCCCATTTAACAATAGAGTATAATAGTAGCTTGTGCTAGGGAAAAAAAATGTTTCCCCTGTTTTGTGCTTTCACTTTTTGCTATGGACGTGGCCAACATGTTTTTCCCTTTTTATTGAGATAGGTATTTTTTGTTTGATTGCGATATGGATTTAGCAACATGGGCAATATTGGAGTTTTGTTTGCTTGGTTATAGACCCTATGATAAATGATTTTCTCTTATAACAGAGACATTGCAGAGAACACAACAGATACTGCAGCAACTAAGATATCAAATTAGTAAGGGGTACCCTGTAATTGGGGCTGGTGCTGGAACAGGCATCTCAGCAAAATTTGAGGAGGCTGGTGGTGTGGATATGATTATCGTGTACAACTCTGGCCGGTTTCGGATGGCAGGAAGAGGATCCTTGGCTGGTTTATTGCCCTTTGCTGATGCAAATGCCATTGTTCTTGAGATGGCCAATGAAGTGTTGCCTGTAAGATGGAGTTTTTGGTTGTTTTTTTTGTAATATAACACAGTTTAAACAATATCTCCCCCCCCCCCCCTCCCCAAAAGAGAAGGAAGAAAAGAATATACTTTCAATAATTTGGTCCCAAGTAAGAGTCAGATTTCAACAAATGAAGATAAAAAAGAATCACACTCAATTTAAATACTCTGTATGATATACTCCTGCCGTCCCACTGGGTATTTCAATCCTGCCATATTTGGGTGTCCCTATGCATATTTCCACTTTCCATTTCAAGAAAAAGTGTGATTCACATCTTTTTCTTCTAAACAAAGTTCAACTACAATTTCATCATTTCTTAATATCCGTGGCAGGATAAGTTGAAAAACCCTACCAGAACGGATGTAGTACTTACTGGTTAGGTCAACCTACCTATAAATAAAAAGTATTATATTTTTTAATAGTACGCGTACTATTTTTAGAATTTGATGTTAGTCGGAGTCTTCCCTCCAGGGTTTGACCTTTGAATCCATCATCTTGCAAAAAACAAGGAAAACGTGGCTTAGACCATTGTTGGGAGTTTTGGCACTGGGTACTGGATACACCGTACACCCTTTATTGTGTTAGTTGAATGAGTATAGTAGTATCTTCATGGTGTTAGTTGATGTTCTACGATTTCTTGAAATGTTGTTTGTTGCCGTTGTTTTAAAACTGAGTTATAAAACTTTTAGGTGGTAAAAAAGGTACCAGTTCTAGCTGGAGTTTGTGCCACTGATCCATTCCGTAGGATGGACCACTTCCTGAAGCAGTTGGAATCTGTCGGATTCTTTGGGGTGCAGAACTTTCCAACGGTTGGACTATTTGACGGCAATTTTAGGCAAAATCTAGAAGAGACTGGAATGGGTTACAGGTATGTGTTATTAACACATCTCTTTAATGCACATAAGATCTATACACTCTTAGTTGGGTGGGTTCTGTTAGTTTCCAGGTTAATATTTTTGTATTTGGCACAATGGAAATACAGACTATTATTTTAAAGGAAAGCACAAAACTGTTTTAACAAAAATGATTTCCCATTTGAAAACAGGAAGTCATCTAACTTATATGCTCAAAGAATCAAGGAAAATCTTATATCAAGCATCAAATAGCTTATTTTCAAGTAAAACATTTTCATTGGAACATTTTCCACAAAAGTTATGTTACTAGAAACAAAAGGAGCCCTAGAAGAGCTAGCTAACAAGTATAATATGTTGAGACTGATCCTTTTGACTAGAAACTAAGACAGTTATGATCTTTTTGGATTATATAGTTTGGAAGTTGAGATGATTGAAAAAGCTCATAGTATGGGTCTTTTGACAACACCATACGCTTTCAATTCAAATGAGGCCGTGCAAATGACAAAAGCTGGGGCTGACATTATAGTTGCTCATATGGGGCTAACAACATCGGGATCCATTGGAGCAAAAACAGCACTATCGTTGGAGCAAAGCGTGTCTTCTGTACAAGCTATTGCAGATGCTGCTCATGGGATCAATCCGAATGCGATCATTCTTTGCCATGGAGGTATGAATGTGGATATCCTTTGACCCGTTCTAATATTTAACCTTTCATTTTCTATTGATATTGAATCGGTCATGACCAATTCATAGGCCCTATATCTGGCCCTGAGGAAGCCGAATATGTTCTGAAGAGAGCCAAGGGCGTTCACGGGTTTTACGGTGCTTCCAGTTTGGAGAGGCTACCCGTTGAGAAGGCGATAACAGGAACTGTGCGACAGTATAAGTCCATTTCTCTGATATAGAACATGAAAGTATCAATAAATAAATCATACATTCCCTTAATACCCTTTGCTTCTAATACTTGTATCCCACTTGCATGAAATATTTGTAGCTTAATAAACCAAACCAAACCAAACCAAACACACCTTGTACTGTTCCACTTGCGAGTAGAGTCTGCAATGAATTAACTCATGAAGCCCTTTGTCCTGTTGTGGATTATCAAAGGATAGAGTCTTATGAGATGTAAGGATTTGGCCACATGGTTTCCCAATTTCTAAAAATTGTATGGTTTCTTATAATCCAAAGGGAAAACAAGTGGAAGAGTCTTGGAATGTACAACATTTCCTTAACCTTTTACGGAGTATTAATGACTTGTTTGTTTACCACAATTTTTTAGGACACGAAATGAAATCTACTATAGTTGTAGATAAAACACTCGAGAGCAAAGACAAACATCTCCACCAAGCTTCCTTAGAGTTTGAGATATACATATTACTCTATTAAATTCTATAATTGGTCCTTTATAAAAGATGACTTTTCATATTTAATAATCTATTACTCCGTATTAAATATTACTCCTTACATCTGTAGTCTTTTTATAGGTGCCTTTTTACAAATGATTTTTTTTATGTTCTACTAAGTTAGTGTTAATTTAAAGTCTAAAAGTGTAATTTCATACTAACCTTTATGTCCGATGACGTATTCTGATACGGAGTATTAGTTAGATGGATGACACAAGAATAATTACTATCATTATGAGTTAGGATTTCGATGAAAGACTACTTTTGTTGACTATAATTGTCTCAAAAAGCGATTGTAATTTACAAATGATACATCGAGAGCAGTCTTTTGAATTGTGTATGACAAAAAACATAAATTATCATTGTAAAGTTATACTTTTACGGAGTAGTTTTAAATTAACACTGAAATGATAAAAGATAAAACAGACTGTGGAAAAATACTTAATAATATTTGAATAAGCATGAAAATAGTTGGTGAGGTGAAGCAAAAAATTGACAAATATTTCCTATAAAGTAAAAGATTAATCTCATTGATGTATAGATCGAATAAAGTTAGATTAATTTTGCCAAACATTAATTTTATGTTTAAGAAAAATCAATTTTTTCGAAGTTGGTTTAAGAAAAAAAAGGGTAAAATATTTTTTTCCCGTCCCAAATTAAATTGCTTTTATACTATTCACTGGGTCAAATTTTATCACTTTCTTTTTTTCGATAGTCATTTGATTAAATAAATTAATCATATTACCACTAGTTTTGTAAATTTTATTTGGAGTATGTAATTTATATTTTTAATAAAATGATTTGTAAAATAAATAGGAGTAGAAAATATAAATTGAGATTGTAAAAGTTTAGCAAAAATAAAAATAGTGGGTTAAAGCCTTAAAAAAGGCTGAAGATATCTCACTTGCAGAAGAAGAAAACTCTCTCTCCGTCTCTCTCTAGCTCGATCAGATCGCCATGACGAAGCAGCAAGCAAACTGGTCCCCTTACGACAACAATGGAGGGTAATATCTTCTTTTACACCTCCGCCGTTCGTTTTCCCCATTAGGTTTAATCTGCTCCCCGTTTTGCAATTCGCTAGTCTCATCAATTTGTACGATTTGTGCAGAACATGCGTCGCCGTCGCCGGCGCGGATTACTGCGTGATTGCGGCGGATACTCGGATGTCCACCGGCTATAACATCCTCACACGGGATTACTCCAAAATCATTAAACTGTAAACAATCCATCTCCTTTTTTTACACTTCACCATAGATTGTGTCTGATTCCATGTCATTGTACCTTGTTTGGCTTTGTTGGAAGGGAGGGTGAGGGTGTTTGAATTAAAATTTTAGTTCACCTCCAAAAACCCCCAAATTTGAGTGGAGCAAAATGAAGAAAGGAGGTCTGGGATCTGGAGGAGGGAAGGACTCCAAACATTCTAAATTTTTATGCCAAAGCGAGATCATTAAAACTCAGTTATGTATTTCATCTTATAGTGCCATATATGGAATGCCAGGCAACTTGATGTCCTTAAATAGCTTAGAGAAATTAAATTGTGACCAAAAGCCTCCACCCCAGCCTCTCACCCATCTGCTGCACAAATGCCTAAATGCCGCACAATCACTCTAATCATTGGTGTTTCTCAATGAGTAATATTCTTGAACCTTGTCTTCTTCTTTGCTGTTTCAGAGCAGATAAGTGTGTGATGGCCTCCTCAGGGTTTCAGGCTGATGTGCGAGCTTTGCAAAAGGTTTTGGAAGCCAGGCATCTGGTAAGCTGTCAAGATTTTCTTATTTTCTTAATTAGATTTTTCCATCGTCCTATAATTCTCCAAATATACATGGATATGTCCCATTCCATTTTTCTATCTTTTCTTCAAATATGGGTGTCTAATGTTATCGGTTAAGGATGCCAATCATGTCATGAAGTGTAATCCAATTAATTGGATGTTGATATTTCATTTTTTAGAGTAAAGGGTTCAGAGGTACTTCCCTATAGAACAGATCCTGTTGACCTGTTCAGTTCATTGGATTTCTTATCAGATCACAACCTTCTTGAACTCTAGGGGAGCTAAACTGGAGTAGCTAGATTCTAATATTAGTTTTGATTATGTATAGGGGGGTAGGCCTTCCTCACAATACTGGTTCTGTACTCTAATTTTCTTTGATGATAATAATATTTGCATTCGGTTCAAAAAGATATTTCATTTTTCTTGCGAATTTCAAAGAGATGTCATTTATGAATTATGATGTGCATTATACATGCCTATCATATTGTAAAGAACTACTACTGATTCTTTATCATTACATTTACCATGATCAAAGCCATAATCTCAAATAGTCAGGCTGAGTGGGATACATGCTATATTTATAGTGGGGGTCGGTGATATTAATTTATAGAGCTATTTTGCACTAAATTCATGTTAAGAACATATAGAAAATGTTTTATGCTGGATGACATGCAACCTTCATAAGAAGGATACATGATGGAATTCTTAAATCTCCATCATCATATGTTATATCCACATGCATGTACAATAAAATGAGATGGCAATGCATTTAGTTATTTGCTATTGCTGTGCCCATTTTATGATTAATATTACAACTCTTATACTGCATTCTTATTGAATTGATTGTTTTTTTACATGTTTTATTGTTTCCATAAAGATTTATCAACACCAGCACAGCAAGCAGATGAGCTGCCCTGCGATGGCTCAATTACTTTCAAACACATTATACTACAAACGGTTTTTCCCTTACTACTCTTTCAATGTCATTGGTGGCCTTGATAATGAAGGTAGCATCATATTACATGCCCCACTTTAGTTATTGGTGTACTATCTTTTTATATGCTTCTTCTTCTGGATTAATGTGAAGAATTAAGTTTCATTCATTCTATCAATGTTTTGTTTTGTTTCTAGATTTCCCTTAATAATTATCTTCACAATTCCCAACACATTAATTGACACTACTTTGTTTGCTTTATGTCCCACTTAGGTACTAACAATTAGAACTTTTTTTTCAACTTCCAAAGGATATAGAGTGATGCTTTTTACTATATCAGCCTTATCTTGACACCCTTTTCATTTAAATATGGGAACAACTTGTAAACCATCCATTGATACCAACCTTGCATCTTAATATAGTTTAATGGTATGGACACCTAGTTTGTTTTCATATGCATGCAAAATGTCTATTTTCTTGCATTTTAATATAGCTGGACTATGTTAGCAACTTAGCATACCTAATGAATTCTGAAAAATAAAACTAATTTACCATTTTCCTGGAAGCCAGCACATATCTTTTTAATACCAATACTGAATAAGCTATACGCACATCATGAAAACAACACTGTTACATGATAAGGGGATCTTAGTTAATGGAAATATAGGTGGACAACTGGACAAGTGCCGTTTACTATGGGTGGTATTTTCCTTTGGAATAACCCTTAAAATGTGTGCTACATGTCAAATCATATTCTTAAATTGAACTGGTAGGGAGTATACTCCCTCTCTCTCATTAAAAGAATCATGCTTGGTCAAGGTACAACTTTCTAATTTTGTCAAGGGACAAGTCTTAAAACATAATGTTATTTTAATTTTTTTTGGGACAAAAAAAGGTTTTGAAACAATAGTCTTTTTTCAGGAATGAGGAAGTATCAATAATGGACATTTATTTTTGTTTGCCTCTCATCTTTTCTTAAAATCTTCCAGGCAAAGGATGTGTTTTCACATATGATGCTGTTGGATCATATGAGAGGGTTGGTTACAGCTCTCAAGGCTCTGGCTCTACGTTGATCACACCTTTCTTGGATAACCAGCTGAAGTCCCCTAGTCCACTGTTATTGCCTGCCCAGGTCTGGATTTTTTCTATACAAACCCGTTTTCAGAAACAGTATGTCAAGATTTATTTGATGTCTAAAATGGGTTGCATTACCTGCTCAGGATGCTGTTACTCCTCTTTCTGAGAACGAAGCAATTCATTTAGTGAAGACATGTTTTGCATCAGCAACTGAGAGGGATATATACACTGTAAGCCTCTTTCTTGCTTCTTCTTTCTATTGCTTCTTTTATTTATTTACTCTGCATTTATTTATCTATTATGGAGCATTAGTATTTTCTATGTTTTGATTTATATGGCTGTTCACTTTGAAAGAATAGTAACTAATCTACACAGACTCTGTAAATGAACGTTACTCTGAAGACTTTACAATGATTTATTCCATTGTTATGTGAATTCCCTGAGAATCCCCGTTAGTTTCACAACTACAGTTTGTGTTCCTTAAAATGGTCATGAGTTTATTGATCATTTTATCTGATTTTTTTCTTTGTGCGGCAGGGTGACCGGTTGGAGATAGTCATATTGAACTCCCAAGGGATTCGCCGTGAGGAAATGGAGCTTAGGAAGGATTGAGATTCGATCTATGATCTCATCCATTGGCTTGCACCCTTTGTTTTACTAGTTCTGTTTTGTTGTGTTTGGCATGCCTAGATTCTCACATAGTCCTGCAATGGCGGATTATGTATTTTCCGTTTTAATATATATTTGAACTGCATTTGTTTTACAACCTTTTAATATGTATTTTATTTTTTGTGGAAATCTTAGACCAATATTTTCTTGTATTTTTGTGGAAATCTTAGACCAATGTTTTCTCCCCATTACTCATAGAGGTCATATTGCTTGCTGGAATTATTTTCACTCGAAGCTATTGTATGATTTGAAGTCTCAAATTTCGTATTGGTCTATATTGTTTGTACACGTGTCACATGATATGCTTCAAGATTTATAATCTTAGGATCTGTTTCAGAAGAAAAAAGTAATTTGGATCAAATAAAGTAATTTGGATCAAATCCAGGTATATTGACTGTTACTACTACTGCTTGAACCAGCATTAGTAAATTTCTTGTACTTCCTACAAGTTT